CATTTCATTTCATTTCATTTCATTTTGATGTAGGAATTAAATCCACCAGGTTTCAACGTTTGTTTTGCGTTTTATGAAAGGGAGAGAGAAATGGGGTCTATCGTGCACTCGACACAAAGTCATTTCGGAGCTAAGATATGGTTCAATTTTATTTCAATAATTCGCTTGCGCGTAGGGGTCTTTAGCAGTGGGCGGAAACCGGAGGCTACGGAGAAAACCCACGAGGTTGGACAGGCGATCCTACTACTTGTCACGTACAACCGGGGAATCGAAACCACACCAGTTGACCCAATGACATGCCTTATGATACAGCGCGCACGTGCTAACCATTCGGCCATCCAACCCCCCTGGAAACCGGGGGACCTAGAGAAAATCCACGAGGTTGGACAGGCGACCCTACTCCTTGTCACAACCGGGGAATCAAAACCACGCCAGTTGACTCAATGACAGACCTTATAGTGCAGCGCGTACACACGCTAACCATTCGGCCATATTCATTAACAACTACAGGGTCTTCTCTGATAGGTATTTAGTAATTGAACATATTAACACGTACAATAGCCGTTTGAATGGGACGAAAACCCGAGGTCCTGTGTACACATTGGGGTGCACGTAAAAGATCCATTGGCAGTTAGAAATCGATGTAAAAGTAGGGTAACGCCGCTGTCCGGAAAATAATTCCCTATGACGTATGCCCGTGTTCATTAGCCTAGTCGGAGCCGAACAGTAGGACGTTAAACCCCATTTCATTATTAACACAAGGTACAATGTTATGGATGCACACAGACTGAGTTTAATAACATGCGACGTTTCGACGTGGATACTCTCGTCTGTATCAAGCAAATGATACAGGTAATGTGAGTAGTAGACAAATATATACAGAATATGCAACATAAATAACAATCGCTAGAATTAAACTGTACGTTGCGTGTCGGTTTGGAATCTTGTCGACAGTCGCATACGGAAGGAATCTGTATTTGATGGGGTAGGGTCGCCTGTCCAACCTCGTAGGTTTTCTCCGGGGCCTCCGGTTTTTCTCCCACTGTTAAAGACCCCTACGCGCAAGTGAATTATGTAAATAAAATTAAACCATATGTTAGTCCCGAAATGACTTAGTTTGTGTCGAGTGGACGTTAAACCCCATTCCTCTCTCTCTCTCTCTCTCTCTCTGTTTGATGGGCAAATTTACATATAGTTTTTGGACCAGAATTACATGGCCGGTTTGGAATATTATCGACATATCATCATAGAGCTTTTGGACCAGGGGCCTGGAATGTTGTCGATATAATTTTTATAGAGCTTTTGGACCAGGATTAATACCAAGTTTTTATTTACCCCCCTTTTGATGCTTTTATTCATCCCTCCTGAGATGTTATCTATTAATCAATCCAAGTCGTTTATTTATTCCTTCTTTGATACGGGGGTGGGGGTGGGTGGATAGCCGAATGGTTAGCACGTGCGCGCTGTATCATAAGGTCTGTCATTGAGTCATTCGAATCCCCGGCTGTACATGACAAGGAATAAGGTCGCATGTCCAACCTCGTGGGTTTTCTTCGGGTGCTCCGGTTTCCTCCCACTGCTAAAGACCCCTACGCGCAAGCGAATTATTATTAGTCCCGAATTGACCTAGTTTGTGTCGAGTCGACGTTAACCCCCCCCCCCCTCTCTCTCTCTCTCTCTCTTTGATACCGACTGCCAATCCATCCAAGTCCCCTGTCTGTCTCCTTGACGATAGGAAGGTGGGAGAAATGAAGTAGAAATTTCTTCATAATTCTTCAAAAGTATGCTTTTGATATTTTCAGAACGGCAATACTGTCCTTGATAGATATTAATCATCTACCAATACCCCATCCATGTTTCAATTGATTCGTAAATACACCACCAAACCCTAAACAAGGCCGAATAAACCTGGGCAGGACAAATCAATGGGCGGGGCGTTGGGTGGTGGTGGTGGTGTCTGATAGATATTAATCATCTACCCCACTACCCCATTCATGGCCCTTATTCACGAAAACTTAAACTAAGATAAAATCGAAATTTTAAGAAATACTGCGATTCGATTGGCTAACCAGTAAAATCAATTTGCATATATGCAATTTGCATATTGGTCAGCCAATCGAATTGCAGTATTTAAAATTTCGATTTTATTGTAGGGGTCCACAACAAAACCAACAAAATGAACAAGACAATGATTTATTTTTTTACATAATTCTGATGTCTTTATTTTGGAAAAATAATTTCCAATAAAATTTACAATAAATTCGACTAATGTCACAAAGGACTGATGCAGTCTCCGAACTCTTATCTACTTAGTCTCTATCATCCAGACAAATATTCTACGAATTTTAGTTTGGATGCGTTGTCAACATTTGGGATTAACCTGTCTTTTATATTATCATAAACAAAGTCTAATGGAGTTGACTAGCCCTTAAAACAAATGTTGGCGCCATTTCAGAAAACCCATTTGATTGCACTGACAGTTCAATATCTAACACTCTTATTTTTTTATCTTAAAATTTCTCTCTTGATGAGCCATATCTATGTTTTTTTTAATTAATTTTAATTCTAATTGACTTGGCCAATGATACTGGATAATCAACCACATAAATAAAAAAAAGCCCCAACAAACTCCCGGTTAGGCATGGGCAATGGAACTTTTCGTCAAACATCGAAAATAGTTATTAAAAAAAGAAACAACAAGACCAATTCTGTTTAAAAACGAAAACAGAACTAAAGTAAAGAATCGCCTCTATAGGGTATACATTTCTTATGTTTAGTTTCATAACTAAACAGACAAAACGATATAATGATGTTTATATATATATACTCTTCAAAAAAAAGTAAGGGATATTCACAAACAATACAAAATTGCGGAAATGCACTGCTGTTTTTATTAGAGGTAACCAGTGTATGTTAATAACAGGCCAATTGTCTACACATGAACATAAACAGTTCATATTGGCAGCTTATCTGACGGCCCCATTTCACTCGCAAAGAGATACACTGTCAAAAGTGAAAAGGACGTTTTTGATTTTTGTCTTAATAATGAGTAATTGCTCCACCAGTCCTCAGACATTCAGCAATTCGTCGTGGCATCCTCCTAATCAACCATCCAATCACGATTTGGGACAATCTGTCCCACTCCCCGTGCAGTGCCACGTCCAATTCTTGAAGTTTTGTCGGTTGACGTTGACGTCGACGAACACGTCTGCCGATCAAATTAAACGTAACACACTAAAGCAAAGATACGCTAAGCAGTAAATCTTATTGAACCGATAGGAAAGCAAACATGGACAGGATAAACCAGCAAGCGGCAGTTTTCAAATTTGACAGTGAACCCCTCCCACGTGTATGGCACTATTGCGTATCGCACACACAGCTCAGTGGTTCTGTTGGGGCGATAAGTTCTTCATATGTGAACATACTCTCAAAGCATGTCAGGCGTCCATGACTATTTATCATATCACAACCTGCATAGGTATTTGCATTTCAATATCCCATCCTTTTTTTTTGAAGAATATATTACAATTGTTTTTCTAAATGCCAACCATGTACAACTGTGGAATAGGAATTGGGATTAATGACATCTATAGTAGGATGAGTGGGGTTTACAGAAAGATGAACGAGGTTTACAACAAGATGACTGGTTTACAATCACCTGACCGAAGTTAACTGTAAGATTAGCGAGGTTTACCATAAGATGAATAAGGTTTGCCATAAGATGATTGGTTGAATAAGGTTTGTAATAAGATGACTGGGATGCATGGGGTTTATAATCAGATGGATAGGGTTTACAATAAGATGACTGGGATGCATGAGGTTTATAATCAGATGGATAGGGTTTACAATAAGATGACTGGGTTGAATGAGCTTTACAATTATATGACTGACTGGGTTTACAATCAGATGACACGGATGGGTGAGGTTTATAATCACATGACAGAGATGGATGGGGTTTACAATCAGATGATTGGGATGCATGAGGCCTATAATAAGATGACTGGGATGGATAAGGTGGGTGAGGTTTATAATCATATGACTAAGATGACTTGGGTTTACAATCATATGACTGGGGCGGGTGAGGTTTATAATCATATGAATGGGATGCATGAGGTCCATTTTTACTAGCCACGTTTTACTATTTTTGTTCTTGTGGGATCTTGAATTTCTAATCGAAATTCTTCCTTTATCAAAAATAAATCAGATGAAATAATAAAATAAATTATATATCATTAATATCTCCACGGTAATGGATTTCTCTTGGATTCAACGCGCTATACACGTGACATAATATCAACTAATATTACAACATCTAGACGTTGCCGACACGTGCACGATAGCGGCAATCAGAGGTTGTGACACAGACACACTCAAATCAAACATGGCGACCTCCAGTCATTTGAAACACGCACCACTCGACCCGACACCAGTCATCGATAATGATACCACGTCATTAGTTACATGCACCACTCGACTCGACACCAGTCACCAATAACGATACTACGTCATTTGTTACATGCATCACTCGACCACTCACCGATGATGATATGCACCACTTGACCCGACACCAGTCACCGATGATGATACTACGTCATTTGTTACACGCACCACTCGACCCGACGCCACTCACTGGTTACCTTTGATGATACATACACTTTATTACAGATCGCATTCGATCGGACACTAGTCACTTGTTACCGATGATGATATTACGTCATTTGTTACGAGCAGCGTTCGACTAGATACTAGTCACGCAATTGTTACCGATAATGATACTACACCATTTTTACAGGCAGCTTTCGACCCGACACCACTCACTGTTTAGAGATGATCGTTTGTTGCAGGTTCGACCAGATACAATTTACTTGTATACCGATGATGATACATCATTTGTTATAGGCAGCGTTTGACCGGATACAATTTACGTGTTATCGATGATGATACGACACTATGTGTTACAGGCAGCGCTCGACTGGACACTCGTTCTTTGTTACCGATGATGATACGATACTATGTGTTTCAGGCAGCGTTCGACTGGAAACTCGTCCTTTGTTACCGATGATGATTCGACATCATTTGTTATAGGCAGCGTTCGACCAGGCATCGGCGAATGGCTATCGATGATAATATGACACCATTTGTTACAGGTAGCGTTCGACTGGACACTCGTCCTTTGTTATCGATAATCATACTACATCATTGGTTACAAGCAGGCATCTGTGAGTGGTTACCGATGATGACACTCACCATTTGTTTCAGACAGCGTTCGATCATGCATCGGTAACTGGCTACCGATGATGATACTTACACCATATGTTACAGCCGGCGTTTGACCAGAGATCAGTGACTGGTTACCGATTATGACACTGTGTAATTTCATTCTGCCATTCTCGAGATCCTGTCAGTTATACGATACGCGTATTTCGTCGTGGGCCTATCTATATCAGAAGCTACGACAATAATATGATCGCACCACGAAGTAAGCTATAGTTTTTGGAATGACTAATGGCTTAAATCAATTCCCAGCATCATAATTACTTCCGGGTAAAGCACGATCTCATTAAAAAGACCGTCGTGAACACCTGTCGCCACATAAACTAATGACAAAATCAATCTGAAAAAATAAAATACGAAACTAAATATTGTGCAATGCATCCTCCAACAATAGCCCAATTTAGTCATCTCGATGAAATACAAACACGATTCCAACGCATTACTCGGTCCCTTTTTTCTGATTTAGCACATGTCATTACTACATTAAATATAAAGCACTTGAGGCATTAAGGATATTAAAATCACATTTAGCTAAAAATCATCATGAATCAATTCCAGCTTTTTGGTGGTAAAATCGTGAACGGATTTACTAGCTCTGTTTGTTTGTGTTTTTATTTGTCTTTAGCTGATCATATAATCAATGTTTGGTGACAATCGGAATAATAATTCCTTCTCGAGAAACGTCTTGTTCGTATTTTTAGATGTAAACCAGGCACCAGTTTTTCTAAGTCGTCAATCTTCATATGTCTTTGGAGAAATAAAGTGACACAAACAACGGCTGCCATTTCCGAGGTAATGAAAGCGATTCCTGCCGTGTAGAACGACCAACCGTAATTATACACAAAAGTTTGTTCCGCTCTTTTACTGGATCTATAACCGACTTCGTCGTTAATGGCGGAGATGTATAGCACTATCCCCACTGCTAGAGATAAACCTGAAACAAACGACAGAAAGTAGTTTTAAAGTTATATTAATCATGTAATGTGTAGCTTAGGTTAGTCCTTAAATTGAGAGTGAGCGGTGGGTGGAGAAGATAAGAGGGATGGGGGAGAGATGACAGGTGATGCCAGAGTTGTAAGAGTGTGAGAGATGTTACTTTTTTTCAAATTTGTGTCTGCACGATGACCGTCTTTCTCAATGGCCGTCATTTTCCAAGATCGCTGCCATTTCCGGCTTTTCTTTCACATTATTTAACCACAGGATCAATTATGACGATTTTGATACGTATTTCTATTCTGTGAGTCACTGGAAAGTCGAATTATCAACTGCAGAGGCTTTTTACTATTTTGCTTGAATACACTATTTTGCCTATAACGTTTTTTAGGACTTCGAATTCTGTCTTATGGTTTGGATTTTTAGTACTTGGTTTTATTTTAGTTAAAACAACTGATGTGAAAACATATAAAAACACAGGGTTATGTCATCTATATGAAGCTGTGGTAGTTACTAGGCTATAATATCGGCTTCCACGAAGGATGATATCGAACGGGAAACGATATTTCCTGTGGGAGGAAACTGGAGTACTCGCAGTCAACCCTCGAGGTTAAGAAGGCGTCTCTGTCTCCAAGAGGTGAAAGACCAGTTTGAGCTCGAAGCGCGACACAGTATACCACTTGACCAAAGTACTACCTGTCCTATTATGTCTAGATACTCAACAAACCACCATGCATAATAATCTATCTAGCTTTTTTCATTCATGTTATTTTTAGTGTAAGGCTTACATAAAGCTCTAAAATCGAATTTCATTTGGTTAAAAATGTATTGTTGGACTCAAAAACCTATCGAATAGGAGGATTTGGAGTCATGTCATTGCACAAATGATATTTTGTGGCAACCATCTTGAAAATGGTCGCCATCGTGGAGTTTGGAATGGTTAACGGAAGGGCTGCAACCGCATTGATGGAATCCCTTGATACATGTATATGCATTTACCTGCTACATCCAGTGGTATTAAAATGTGGTTTAACGTCCACTCGACACAATCTAGGTTATTTCGGGATTAACATAGCGCGTAGGGGTCGTCAGCAGTGAGAGAAAACCGGAGAACCCGGAGAAATCCCACGAGGTTGGACAGGACAGACGATCCTACTTCTTGCCACGTACAATCTAGGAATCGAAACCACGTCACCTGACTCAGTGACAGACCTTCTGATCCAAAGCGCACGCCCTAGACCATTCGGCCACTCTGCACCCGTCTAATAGCCCGGTGGGGGATTGGATGGCCGAATTGTTAGCACGTGCGCGCTGTATCATAAGGTCTATCACTGAGTCAACTGGTGGGGCGTCGATTCCCCGGTTGTACGTGACAAGGAGTAGGGTCGCATGTCCAACCTCGTGAGTTTTCTCCGGGTCCTCCCACTGCTAAAGACACCTACGCGCAAGCGAATTATTGAAATAAAATTGAACCATGCGTTGGTCCCGAAATGACCTAGTTTGTGTCGACTGGACGTTAAGCCCCATTTCCCTCCCTCTCTCTAATAGCGCGATATATCTTTCAAAATATTCTAAATTTAAGATGGTGTTTAATTTGAAAAAAATAAAACTCATTACGTTTCACCAAGAAAACGTATTAGCAGCTTGTCTAACATATCCTCCCTGTAGGCTACATAATCAATTATTGTTGAACGTTTACAAACGACATTCATAACAAGGCGTTAAATATGTTTCCCTTAAAAGGGAGGGGGGTTGGATGGCTGAATGGTAAGCGTATGCGCTGTATAATAAAGTCTGTCATTGAGTCGACTGGCGTGGTTTCGAATCCCCGGTTGTACGTGACAAGGAGTAGGGTCGCCTGTCCGACCTCGTGGGTTTTCTCCGGGTCCTCCGGTTTCCTCCCACTGCTAAAAACCCCTACGCGCAAGCGAATTATTGAAATAAAATTAAACCATATGTTAGTCCCGAAATGACCTAGTTTGTGTTGAGTGGACGTTAAACCCCATTTCTCTCTCTCTCTCCTTAATGGTGAGTCGCAGTGACTCAGTGAGTAGGATGTTGTCTCGCTAACCTGTTAGATCCCTGTGAGAAAGCTCATTGGGATTTTCCTGCGTGGTTTCCGCTTGTCAGTGACAGGCTATAGTCGTTCCAATGAGACGACTAACCGAGGTCCAGTGTACAGATTGGCGCGTACGAAAAAGAACCCTTGGCACTTAGAATTCGATATAAGAGCTCCCGTCAAAAGGCAAAACCTAGTAATTCACTTTTGTTTTGTTTTTTATCAAAATTGAGTTAGGACCAAATTTGTAGTTACTAGGGTATGTGCTTCCTGTTGTTGTACTAGATATTCCAATCTTTTGATTTTGTAAGCAGTTACACCCATGACACAACCTAGCAACTTCCTTCATTTGCCTAGTATACCACAGCAAAACCTAGTAACTCAATAGTCAAATCAATGGATGAGCTGGGGTTTAATTTTCATTCATTACGTTTTTCTTTGTTTTCTCAAAATAGGAAAAAAGTGAGTTACTAGGTTTTGCCTTTTAACGGGAGATGAGTAGGTCGTTGGCGCCGTTATCCGGGCAAAATTTCCCTCATCGCACATTTTCTGACATATGTCCGTCTTCATTAGCCCAGTCGAGACAGAGAGGTAGGACGTTAAACTCCATTTTCATTTCATTTTCACGTTTTCCTTAATATCGCGTGACTGATGAATGGAATGTGCCTAGTCGACTCCAGATCTAAAGACCAATGGAAAGCGTTAATACAGAAAATTCCGCGAAATCTGTTGAAATGCTTTGATTACCCAGACGTTTGATTGAGTGTCCAATCAAAGTCAAAGATAATATAATGCTGACGTCATAAGCTCAGAACATGTTTTATTCAAACTTGTTCTTAGATGTTTGTAAGTCGACCAACAGAAAAAACGTAACGAATAAAGCACCCCGTGTTGATTGGAATGAATACCGTCTTAAACATGTTTCCGTTTTTATCGCTAGACCGAACGTTTAAAGACTAGAATAAGATCGATATTATTTGATGTGCGATCGACTGTGCAGTTTTGCACATGTTAAGAATCTAGACGATAAAAATCTCTTTGCAAATAGGCAAGTAATAAATCACAATATAATTGAAGCGAAAGCAAATTAAGTCAACTTTTATCTTTGAAAACATCATGAGAATTAATTTCTCTCTGAAAGTATATTATGTAATTTTAATATCAGATATATCTTCTGTTTGATAACCATGTTATTAAATGAAATGAGGTTTAACGTCCTACTGTTCTTATCCAACTGGGCTAATGAAGATCGGTATACGTCATACAGTGCGCTACGAGGGAAATGAAAAATGAAATGAAAAGGAGATTAACGCACTGCTCCGCTCGGACTAGGCTAATAAAGACTGGCATACTGTGTGCTACTAGTTGTGGAATATGTCTAGCCTCGTTCTTTCTGGTCACCTGTGTTACAAATGACACTGAAACGCAATATGGTACACGATTCGTGTACCAATGGTAAAATATTCATTTTATTTTAAATATTGGATATCAGAAGTCTACCTTTTCCGATAAGATAACAACATCAATGTTGATTTGAATTGACAAATAATTCGTGTTTTCAACGTGTAAGACTTTATGATATTGAGTTAGAGACTTAGCTACTTTAAACTGGATTGAAATCTATAATATCCGTTTTAATATAATTCACAGACTGATACAAACGGTAGTTGCAACTAAACATATTTTGTAAGCCAAATTGGTCGATATTATTACGGAAGCGTATAGTGATCATGCAAAATTTTGTTGAAGACCTTAAGATCCTGTAGTCCTGTGATGCTTCCTCGAGATACCAATTTAAGGTTCTCGAAATCCCCTGAGTTATTCCCCTCTTTATGGAAACCTTGTTAACAAAATAGTGGCCTATCGACTTTTTGTACTCCGCAAACTTATGTTCCGGAATCCTTGTTAACAGATTTTTTTTTCAAATATGGGAAGATGAACTATATTGATATTCAGTGTTCTGCGACATTCTGTTCCTTACTACACTCAGCCCTACTCTCCGAAGGCCTTCATAACACCATAGAAGCTACACTTTTTAAAGTACTTATTTCATATATGATGTGAAACATTGGAGTCTTGAGAGGTGGATGAACTCATTGCTCAACTCTCCATTTTCCGAGGGGGGTTGGATGGCTGAATGGTTAACGTGCGCGCTGTATCATAAAGTCTGTCATTGAGTCGACTGGCGTTGTTTCGAATCCCCGGTTGTACGTGACAAGGAGTAGGGTCGCCTGTCCAACCTCGTGGGTTTTCTCCGGGTCCTCCGGTTTCCTCCCACTGCTAAAGACCCCTATGCGCAAGCGAATTATTGAAATAAAATTAAATCATATTATGTTAGTCCCGAAATGACCTAGTTTGTGTCGAGTGGACGTGAAACCCCATTTCTCTCTCTCTTTCTCTCTCCATTTTCCGAAAACCTTCTTAACGCGAAAGAGACTTACGTTTTTAATGGATTTTCGATACGCAGTGTTCCGCAGCAAGGATGAACCCTGTTGATTTTCAGTAATGTAAGATTTTCTGTTACAGAGATATATTATTTGCCCGGAAAAGCTTGTGAACACGATAGAGATTAGCTTTCTTGAAGGGTACTAGTAAATCCTTATTATATTTTGTCAACAGCCAAGCTGTCCTTTCGTATAATCTTCTTTCGAAACATAGCCGCTGTGTTGACGTATTTCCACCCTTTACCTGGATACCTTTCAAATATGGTGTGAAGCATTTAGGTCATGAGCGGAGGAACCCTATTGATGTTTAGTGTTCCACGGGATTCTTTTTAAAGCTTTCTTGCCACTAGATTATGAACCTTATTCATTTGCAGCGTTCCCTGGTTATTCTTCTTTTCCCGTAAAACTTGTGAACGCCCGCGGGCCAAGGGACAATAAAGCCAATCGATTTTCATTGTCCCACGATTTTCAGTTCTGGATTTATTGTTATTCCAATGC